GAAATCGTCGCTCGTGCGTGGAACTGTGACAATTAGGTTAGCGGTGCGTTAGCACTCAGCGGCCCCTAAACCATTGAGGCTCAGATTCGCGAAACCCAACAACCTTATCTAATACTTTACTTAGGCTTCAGTACTCTGTTATTTATTATTTATAGAAGCACCTCACGGGTTCAACGTGGGAAAATTCAGTGAGGGCGAGTTAGAACAAATGTTCTTGTGTTTTACAAAGATCGATCAAGATAAATGCAATATAAACATCGCGCCTGTACACGTAGAAGCGTCCGAAGGACACTATAATGGTAACATTGATTGATTGATATGTGGGGTTTAACGTCCAAAAACCACCATATGATTATGAGAGACGCGTAGTGGAGGGCTCCGGAAATTTCGACCACCTGGAATTCTTCAACGTGCACCCAAATCTGAGCACACGGGCCTACAACATTTTGTCTCCATCGCAAATGCAGCCGCCGCAGCCGGGATCTGAACCCGTGACCTACGGGGCAGCAGTCGAGTACCTTAGCCACTAGACCACCATGGCGGGGCATGAATGGTAATAGTGTTAAAGATACCTACAAAATTGGTTTGTGAACATCGTCTTACCATGCTTATCAAACAAATAAAGGCAAAACTGAGTAAGGAAATTGTCAGGTAATTATGAGGTTGGAAATGCATTCGGACCTGTGTTCAAAGATGAGTGAGCAGCATACGTTGGTAAATTTGCTGATGAGTCGACTCACTCGGACTCACTCTAGTTCTGAGGCTGTATCGGAATTAGTGTTTATGTGATTAATATTTTGGTGAGTTTGAATGAGTCCGTTTGAAAGAAAAAAAAAACTTTCGTGAGTAGGAGTCCGCTTACCAATGTTGCTTGAACTGCCTTCAATAGTACGACGTAGGTCGTACTAAGCTATTTGGGCATCACAGAAAGGCATAAAGCGCAAAAAGTAAAATACATTGTTGTTGACGTCGACTATTGATTGTCCTCTGCTACTGTCAATAACCACGTGTGATTGTCGTAAATTGCTTACATGTCTCTTCTTCCGTATAATTTTCACGTTCTCTGTAGCCTGGTCCACCGCATAGGACAGTACAGTGTATGTGCTTTTAGGTTCTCTCCGTAGTGTGTGTTTCCAGCTAGTCCTGGAAGAAGAAAGAGAGAAACGTCTTAAATCGGTGCAACAATGCGTAAGAATTTCATCTGTTGTTTACTACAACATTTGGCCGAATTATACAAAGCAATGTGGCCTTTGAAATTATGGGCTTTAACGAAGCCCCACGATTGGACTCATCAGTCCTTTCAAAATGGCTAATGCAACAATCCGATAAGCTGACAATAATTGTTATGACAGAGTCGGTGATATTAATACCATATTCCGACTACTGAATGCACACATTTGATGTCGTTCAGATTATGCTACTTTGCAAGTTTGAATGCAAGCGAAGAGTCCCACTATTGGTTATCGTTATTGTGGGGAACCTTTTTGGCTGCTTATCTGCGAATTTCATTATTGCTACTTTTGGCACAAAGTTTCAAAGTTCGTAATTTCCTCTGTGTCTGTTTACCGGTTCTGCACTATTTATTATGGATAATATACGTACAAGTTGAGGTTCTTTTTCGAAATACGTTGCTAACTAAAAGTAACTGTGGCTTTATGCACGCCCCTGTTCCGTGTTACGCTAAATCACAAGCGTCTTTCCGCGAAGACTCCCGCAAGCCTGAAGCGATTTGATAGCGTTATAGAGGACTGAACAACGTGCTTCAACGGCTAGAGGAACCTTAATTTGAATGGTTGACTAGCGTGTATACACGAGTGATGTACTCAATATATTGTTAGCACGCGCTATTTACATAGGCGTTAAATGGCCACTTCCTTCAATGCTGCAATGCTGGCGGTGGGCACACCGACTATACAGGTCTCGTTAATTGTGAGAAATGTTGAACATTAAAACGAGATCTTATACATTGTCGGACACTTGGTTTTAGAATATACACCACTCATCTCTTTTATAGCGTCGGAATCATAACATGCACAGGGTTCACCTTCATTGGGGAAAGGGGGGCTGACTAAGGGCGATGACCTCCCCCCCTCTATCGCCCATGTGCACGCCTATGCTCAGACTTCTTGTCCAAGAAATGAAAATTGTCAAATGTTCCTCGAGGTGCTGGAACTGCGCTTTTTAGCTCATCATGCGGTTTAATCAAAGTGCATGTTTTTGTCAATCTTGGTAGTTCGATCGTCTGAGACGCAGGTGTTCGAATATCAAGAGCATTCCTACATACCCAGTATGTTTGTTCCCCGACTCGGGTTGGCCTGCTATACTCATCGTATGCGAATGATCTGCTGTCACAACGTAGAGGGTTTCATTTTCAGGAAGACTTCTCACTGTCTTGTGACGGCCTCATCGAATTCGAGCGTCTCCTGAAGGGCAAGCTTTGCACGGTTAGCATGATGGGCATGGTCAATGCGGCCACCTGCGTAAGGTAAAGTTATATCCTTGAAAAAAATTGCAATTAGACAACATGCTATGCATTCACGAGTTCTTGCATTGCGAATGATTCAGATGTCACCACTTTGCCTTCCGATATTATCAAACGAAGTGCCCCTAACACGCAGAATAAAGTATACGCTGATATGTGGGGAGACAAGATTCCGTTAATGATCAGATAGTTTCTGCCACAAAAAAAAAACAACGATGAAAGTTCCACCTCAAGGGCAAATCCATTTATGGCTAGAAAAACCTTAAAACGTAATACGAAGAAGAACAAGCAGCAAAAAGTTGCGTGTGCGCTGAAGACAACAATGAGGCACTGTATGTACTTACGCAGTCGCAGCACCACATTTGCAGTGCGCTGTTCAGACACAAAGCAAGGTACCACAAGACATCTGTAAAGCATGATGTGTACTTGTTGATGCTGCACTGATGGCAAAGAATAATTTTACTGAGCCCTTCTTGTAATTGGTTGCAAGCATCAAATGACCTGCCTAAAGAATCGCATTTTGTAAAGCATACCTATTATTCGTTCTTCTGTCACGCTATATACCATCACTCAACTGATTTGCTGCCTGACAATGAAGCCGTTCCGGTTCTTTGGCTAAAAATTTTGAGCACAGGCGTGATTCTGCGGTAGAATAATCAACTACCGCGCAGAAAAAAAATGGGCTCCAAAATCCGCCCGTCACTCCAAAGGGGATCATGACAAGTGGATTAAGTACTGTGTATGGTTCTTACCGTAAATTCACCCATGACATTTCCCGCTCATATGAGGGACACGTGGATGTACAGTATATTTAATGTGTCCTTAGCAGGTTTAGCCCCCACTTTCCACGCTCTCCCCTCCAGGGCAGCAGCTTGCTGTCGGCGGTGTGGTTTTTCCACTTCTTTGTGAACTCTCGCCTCTGGGTAGCTCATGTTCTGCGTAGACGTTGGGTTTCGCAGGCGAGAGGTCGTTATGTTTTGGTTTTGTCGGAGCTAACACGGGAAAGATCCAGCCCTGACAGCGATCAGTTTTCGAACTGATTTTGTATTATCGCGTTGCACCCGCCGCGCGGCCCAAATGCCAACTTCTTCTTCCTTGTTGAGCGGCGCATTGAGACGCTACAGGGCTCCTACCCGTAGAGCGAGAGCCGTAGAATCACCAGAGGAGTCGCCCAGTGGACATGCTTGGATGTTGGCATTTGGACTTTAGATTGAAACCTCGTGGCTGCGAAAGCGGCGATATACGCAGGTTTCAGTCGATCAGCAGCCACGACGTCTTCACGGCCATTGATGTCCAGCGTGAACTTCTTAGGTGTACGATGGAGTACGCGAAATGGGCCATCATAGGCTGGTGTTAGTGGTGGCCCGTATTTGGTCACGCCGAACGAAGACGTGACTGCAGTCATGCAGATCCTGACTGACAAAGACAGACTGGGCGTGTCGTGTCGGTAGGAATCCAGGAGCAAGGTCCCGAAACGTGGTGCGCAGCTCTCGAATGTACGTGGAGGCATCGTGAGTGGAAGGTGGCGATGATGGCTCGAAGAATTCTCCTGGAAGACGCAGGAAACGCCACAGACTAGTTCGACTGATGAGCAGCCGAGATCCACTTTCAATGCTGAACTGGATGCTCAGAAAGTACGAAGGGGAGGTGGTCGAGCCAACGTTCCCTTGGCTGGTGAGCAGGGAGGGCCGCTTTCAGTTGTCGATGAAGCCGTTCGACCATGTCATTGGCGGAAGGGTGGTAGGCAGTTGTGTGGATTGGTCGAATGCCCAGGATATTGGCAAGTGCGGTGAAAAGGGCCGATTGAAACTGACGACCGTGATCAGTGGTGTCGACAGAAGGGCATCCAAAGCGCGACACCAAGCCGTTTGTGAAAGCCTTGGCAACTGTGGTGCTGCTGTAATGTCGGAAATGGGAAACGCTTCCGGCCATCGGTGAAGCGATCCACACATGTCAGCAGGTACAGGCTCCTTGCGATGACGGAAGAGGACCGACGATGTCGAGATGGACGTGAGAAAACCTTGCGTCTGGAGGCCGAAACGGGGATGTTGCCGTGACAGTGTGACGGTGAACTTTAGCGCGCTGGCACTCAAGGCAGGTTCGCGCCCAGCGTCGGACATCAGCATTGATGCTTGGTCAAAGGAAACGAGATGTGACTAGCTTCTGGGTCGCACGAATACCAGGATGGCTCATGTTGTGCAATTGATCGAAAATTGCACGACCGAAAAGCTGAAGGCACGAAGGGCCGAGGGACACCAGTAGACGTTTTGCACGTATTAATGAGGTAGAAAATGGAAGCGGGCACTCCGTGAACAATAGAGACGTGGATGAAGAGCGAAGACGATCCAGCTCAGGATCGTTGCTTTGGGCAGCTGCTAGCTCTTCCTTGTCTAGTGGTGGCTGGGTCGACAAGGCATCGATGCGGGATAGTGCATCAGAAGCAGCATTTCCGGCCCATGTAAGTGTCTGAGATCCACATTGAACTCGGAATAAAGCATAGTTGACAGATTTCCCGTGCAGTATAATTGCTGTGATTGCGGTGGAAGGCAAACGTCACTGGCTTGTGATCTGTAACGACGTAAAGTCCCGGCCCTCCAATAAATGACGAAATTGTTTGATGGCGAGGTATACCGCGAGGAGTTCTCGGGCAAATGTACAGTATTTTGTCTCTGGTGGCTTCAGTTTTTGCGGGAAAAACCCAAGGGGCTGCCAACCGGATACTTGCTGCTCGAGAACAGCGCCAACTGCCACGCTTGATGCATCGGTGATGAGACGAATTGGGGCATCAGGGACAGGATGTGTGAGCATGGTAGCATCTGCCAGAGCCTTCTTGGCAGTGTCGAAGGCAGATGCAGTGTCCTTGGGCTACTCCAGTGGCGAAGCCGGGTCTTTCTTTTTAGCCAATAGGTCGGTAAAGGGCTTTGGGAATGTGGCGCACTTTGGAAGAAAGTGGCGATGGAAGTTTAGTAGGCCCAGAAATTCTCGGAGTCTCTTCAGTGAAGTCGGCCGCGGGGGTGGAAAGTCTTGAATAGCCTTTACTTTGCTAGCGAGTGGTTGGATACCCTTTGGAGTGACAAGGTGGCCTAGGAACTTTATTGTAGCGATGCCGAAGAGGCACTTATTGGGATTAAGTACGAAGCCGTAATCATCCAGGTGGTGGAACAGGGGCGCAGGTGGGCTTCATGCTCAAGGCCGGATGAGCTTGCTACAAGGAGGTCATCAAGATAGGCAAATACGAAATCGAGACCTCGCGTGACCTCGTTGATGGTGCGCTGAAAGGTCTGTGCAGAGTTGCGCAATCCAAAAGGCATCCTCACATATTCAAACAGACCGAATGGGGTGGGGATGGCCGTCTTCGGAATGTCGGCGGGTTCTACAGGAATCTGATGGTAAGCCTTCATTAAGTCAATCTTATAGAAGATTGTGCACCCAGCCAAATTTGATGTGAATCCTGTATGTGAGGAAGTGGATAGCGGTCTGGTAAGGTGTGGGCATTGAGAGCGCGGTAATCTCACAATGGTCTCCAGTCGCCAGGATCTTTCTTCGGCACCATGTGGAGTGGCGACGCCCAGTTGCTAAAGGAAGGCCGCACAACGCCGAGTTCAAGCATGTGCTCAAACTCACGGCGGGCGATGGCGAGGCGTTCTCCAGATAGTCGACGGGGTCCTGTAAAAACGGGAGGTCCAGTGGTCACAATGTGGTGAGTGATGGAATGCTTTACTGGTGACTCTCTGGTGTGCGCTTCGTGATGCTAGGAAGAGTCGTCGAGTATTTTTGCATACGGCGAAGCAGGTTTGAGAGCTCGCAGTCCCGTTGGCGAGGAAGTACAGAGTACACCTTTGATGGAGAGGCGGGTGTTGAGATCAATGAGGCGATGAGCATGCATGTCTACAGCAAGGTTGAAAAAACTCAGAAAGTAAGCTCCAAGAACAGCTTGCGAGACGTCAGAGAGGATGAAAATCCAGCGGAACGTACGGCGTAGTCCAGGTCAAGTGTAAGAGAGCGTTGCCGTATGTGCCAATGACGGAATTGTTGATCGCTTGGAGTGGGCAGGTCTGTTCGTTGCGACGGCGATCTGCACACGAGGCCGGGATGACGCTAACCTGGGCTCCTGCGTCGACTAGGAAGCAAGCGCCAGTGATCTTATCAAAAACAAAGAAAAGACAGCATGACTTTCGTCCAGTACCACTTGCCGCCGTCAGTGGCCGGTCGTCGCATTTCCCGACCAGGAGCATGGGCGAGTGCATTTGCGAGCAGAGGCACCGAATCGGCGGTGGTACCAGCACACGGTTGAGGATGAAACGTCCCGCGGCGCGTCGGGTGGCCGAAGTTCCGGAGAACGTGGGGGCGTCGAGGAGCGACTGTGTATCTGGAGCCTGGATGACGGTCGATAATGCGCAGGTACAAAGTCATCGAGGCGCCTGACAAGGGCGTCCAAACGGTTCTCGATGCTTCGCGAGCACCGGGTCTGCAGCGGGGGCCGGTGGCGGTGTGGTAACGCGTTGAGGCTATGTGCCCGCGAGTAGTCCGCCACTCAGTCAGCCATTTCAGCAAGTGTGTCTATTGGGACATCTTCTGCAGCTACGAGGACCGGGACCATGCTCGGCGGTAAGCGCTGGAGGAACAACTCACGTAACAGCTTCTCCTCTTGAGGGGCGGAGGGGCCACCAAGGAGCTGGCGCATGCGTCGCAGGAGCTGTGATGGGCGACGGTCACCGAGCTCTGTGACCGTGATGAGCTGTTGGAGTCTGTTGTGTTCGGACTCATACTTGCGGGAAATAATAGCTGCCTTCAACGTGCCGTAGGGATGGCTCGGGTGTGGCGACGCTAAAATATCAGCTAAGTCGTCGGCTACGTCCGGAGGTAAGCCGGATACTAGATGCCAGTGCCTGGTCTGTTGGCTGGTGGTTTGCCGTAAACGGAAGTGCGCCTCAACCTGCAGAAACCATGTGCTGGGGCTGTTGGGCCAAAATGGTGGCAGGTTGACATGTTGA